GCATAACAATATTATATACGACACGTTTACGAAACTGACATCAGGATAGGTTTAGTAAAAAATAACTCAAAAATTGATAATATGTTCAGAGAAGCTAGTTTTATAGTGCTAATTTTTTAATAAGACACCTTTTAATTCATCCTCTACTTTCAGAAAATACTCAAGGTAATACAATTTCGTCAAATTAAAAAAACTGTTTACAGAAGATTTTATTTAAATTTATTTTTCAAAGAAAAAAATCATACTCACCGTTTGGACAAGCTTTTTATCTGTTAAACTCTTGAAAAGCGTACTCAGCCATAGAACCCTTTATCTTTCTTTTAAATTTACACAATAGTACATACATTTTTGAATACTCAGATCGAAAAAGAAGACATTAGAAAAAATCAATATAATCCTACGAAATAAGACTTCTATGATTTCGAAGAGAGCTTCGAAACTAACAGATAGGACTTAACGGGCTTTATAAAATACAGAAATTTTCTAAGAAAATAAATTAATAGTTATAGATAAATATTTTTGTCAAACACTTTCTCTTCCGAAAAAAAAGTATTCGATGCATGACCTTTGCAGAAACTATTAAATCATCATTCATTTGGTATTATTTCTCCATTTGTTGAAATCAAATTGAAACATTGGCTTGAATAAAAAAAACAGCTCTTAAAATTATTAATACAGATTGGAGATGGGAAAATAAAAACATTACAATTCTAAAAAATTTGAAAACAAAGAGTATTTGTGTAAAAATTTTAGAACTACATTCTTTATTAATTTACAGCGTTATACGTATAGTTCATTATGATTATATTCATTTCTCAACACATTTTTGAATCAAATAAGTAGACATTTCAAAACGTATTACAGTGTAGAATATGCAAAACACAAAGAAGCTAAGAAATTTGACAATGACGTTAACATTAATTTTCCAATCGAACCACTAAAGTCTATTTCCGAAGGCCTCCCACTTGGTGAAATTTATTTGAAAATCAGCGCAATAGTTGAGTTTATGTATAAGCTTGGATTTATGAGATAGTCTGTGCATAATACAAGGTTGAATTAACTAAACGGTTCAAGTAGAATGTTATTGCTGAAATAATAATGTAAAAAATAACTGGATATTCCACAATATCCATATGTCAAATGTAAAAAATGACAGACATTCTTAACAGCTTGGTTTAAGTTAAATGAAATTGATGATTTTGAAAAAATGTTCAAGTACTTGATTCTTTCAGAAATACTTTATACTTAATAATAAACTCAAAGTTTAAGAAAAAAAAGTAAATAAAGAAAACAATGTCAGAAAAAAGTATATTAACAGGCACATTAAAAATAGGACACCTTAATAATCATGAACAATTTATTTTAAAAGTTATTAAATAAAAAGCATGGAGATTACAATATCATTCGAAGATTTAAGAACACATAACGACATTAAGTGTTAAATTTTTAAAGAAACTGCCAAAGCTACGGGTTCCTTCAGTCAATACTAATAAATGAAATTTCTGACGAAGCTAAAACAATCATGCCTTTTTTTGAATTCTAAGAATATTTCGGGAGGTTGTTGATTTTAGAAATCATTTATAAAGATAAACTATAACATAAATAGAAAGAATATTTGACAAAGTATTAAAATTGTTATTAGGATTTTTGTACTCTTCTGCATATAAATAAAATTTAAGGATGAGAAGGTAAATCATGCAAGTCTCTTTGTTTACCAATGCCAACTATACTGATAGTGAATATAATTTTTCAACTATTATGAACAAGGGAAATAGTTAATTTTATAGATATTATAAGATCTCAAAAAATCTATTTATGTAAGACACTAATTTATTATCTCAGTTTTAGAGTTAAAAGTATTTCGTTCATAGTTGGCCAAGGATTTCATCCATGTTGGTTTTAATATGTATGACGAGACAAAGAATTTTTCGTCTACTTTTAGACTTAAGCAATATTGAAAGTGTGTTTTTAGAATTTCAAACTGAAAAAGAAAATTGAGAGAAGTTAATTTTGTAATTTGTTATGAGGCTTTTATGATTTTAAATAAAACCTAAAAGTGATAAAATCATAGACATCATCGTATACAAAACTTAATCTTAATATTAAGAGACTCGAAAAAAAAAAAAAAGTAGTTGTATAATTTAGTTATTTGCAACCGTGGACCATTACATATACCATCTGATATAATCAAGTTTCTTATTAACATTACTATACTTTTAATTTTTATATTTAGTTCATGAGGTGATAAGCCTTATCATTTAGCATTTNATTATAAAAATATAATTAAAAAAACTAATAATCATTCTAACTCCTCAACATTAAACATGACATACGGTCCACCGTAGTTGAGCGTTATTAAATGTTTTTAATTTAAATAAGTTACAATATTAGTTTATGTAAGTCTCATTCTTTTATTTTAAATTTTCAAGCTTCATATGTGTAGTTTTTAAATTTTAACTAGGTATGTGCACAGGTTTCTATAAAAACCTTTTGAAGAGTTACGGATTGAAACCCCACATTTAAAATGCACTACAACACACCTGCTTCACTAAATAAACAAAAAATAGTGATTTTAATTGTTTTTCTTTATTACTATTATTATAGGACTAAGCATAAATTTACTTTTATAGCCAGCGATGCAATAATAATAAATTTTAGCACAATGTTGTACAGCGCTGTTGTAATTGTAGCTTTTTTAAGATAACTGCAGTTTAGTTCCATTGTACCCCATTCTTTGCTAAAATAACCTGGTTTAAATAGCATTGTTTATTGTTTATTTCAGTGATCTTATAGCAGCCTAACATCGTATTTGCTATCGGTGAAGGACGTCCATCGTCCATCACAGTTATCGGGGGAAAGCTAGAGAGCGGAAGGAGGGAGCGAATATACGGTAGCACTGGCAACTATTTTTTACAGACGAGTATACCTGTATACATGCATCTAAGTCTGTTTTTTATTTTATTGCAAAAAGAAAATTTATGATAATAATTGTTTTTTGGTATTGCGTCATGCAAGAAAAAACTGGACGAATTTAAATAACAATTTTCTTATAGAATACATCTTTATGTGACTTCTCCATAAGGTTACGTATATAATTAAAGTTTTTCCAACTTTTAATATTTAAAAAATAGTGTTGTGAAACAGTCTTAAATTGTACATGTGACTTTTGAACATCATTACGAACATCCTGTTGAAGATCCTAAAGAAAACGCTATCTGTGATGAACGTCCTGAAGGCAACGTCTTATCATAAAAACTACTGATTCCCTTCCTTCAGATTCAAAATGTATTAAACTTATGGCACCGCACTATGCAAGCTTCTTAACAGTAAACTAGGACGTCCGGAAAGTAATAAAAATCGAAAACGTTAAAGAGTAAATATTAACTGACTACCAGCAGCAAATACAATGTTACTTCTGACCTCAAATTATTACGTAAAACTCATGAGATTATGTAGAAGTTTAATTTTGTTGTTAAAGTAACAGAGGAAAAGTAACTTCCCATACAGCCATTCGCCTAAACTATATTATATACATCATTATATACGTACCTTTATCCAAACTAAGAGTGTACGCTACTTTTTTTATTTCTGCTAACATTAGAAAGTATAGAAATTTTTAAGGTTTGAAAAAAAGAGAAAAAATATCCAAGGAAACGAAAGAAATTTTTGTTGGGGGTCCTTTCAAGTAACTGAAAAGTTTTGTATATGACCATACTTCTAATGAAATTTTTTTTTAACTCAAGACCGAATTTTAAATTCACTGGTAGCTGATTTAATCACAAAAACGGCTGTAGACAACAGCGAGGTGTAAATCAAGGTATTTTTCTTTGATTTTCTTATCAAAGGCCATCATCAAATCTCATAACTAAGGCCAGTTGGCCGACTTAACAAAAAGTAGCACTAATATTTTTAATAGATAAAAAAAATTACTTATAGTTCATAGACCAACAGAATCCATCAGTACAATTATCATTTATTACAAATAAACACATAATTTTTAATAGTATAATATCCATTACCGTAAGAGACACATCACCACGTTTGTCACGGTCACAAATTGCAATAAAATTTTTGTGTATGATTTTTCTGATTTCTTCAAAATCACACTCCAAAAAAGGTATTAAATATTTGGCTATATTTGATGAAAAATTGAAATCAGGTCTTGAACTCAATAAGTTTAACAAACAACAGACAGCGAATGCACCTAGATTGAGATAGGAACCACTTAACTGTACTTCACATGCTTTTTTTTTCAAGGCATTAGCTATTTTTTCAAGCTTTTTTAAATATTGCTTGTAATATCGAAGTAGGGCTGCTTCATACTGGTGTAGGCTAAGAGTTTTATTTCTGACTGAAAATATAAAAAGGCTTTTAGATTGGATACATTTCATTCATAATTTTATTACATAACAACTTACGTTTTGTATCAGTTTCTGAGCCCAATTTAATGTAAAAAGATGGCAAAATATCTTTAAAAACTTCTAATAAAGAGCCTGCTGCTAATTTTCGAATTGTAATAAGCGTTTCTGGACTTTCATCCATTAACTTCAATAGAATTGATAAATTACTTATGTTGTTGTATGGATCTGCAATGACTTCAGTACAAAGCGAGCCTATGTTGTATCGAAAAGTAATAAGCTTTTTTTCTCGAGACACCAAGAGATGAATAGTTTTGATGGATTCCGAAGATAATTTATCATCCGATATCTGAAAGTATATTATGGTTATAAAAAAAGACAGTTTAAACAATACTTAATGAAAAAAAAAAAAAAAACACAGAATTATAAAATATTACATGCTCTACGCGCATTTTATTTTCTATCAAAATTTTGTTACACGTTAAACCAAATAACATGTAGTTCATGAAACAGAAATCTTTAAAAACAACTGACTAAAAATACTGTAGTATAATAAATGTGCAAAAGGAAAAAAAGGTGAGGAACCAATTTCTACTAAAACGAATCCTTGGGAACTGTAATAAGATATAAAAAAATTAAACACTAAACTTGGAACTGACTATTTGAGAATTCATTTTCACAGTTTCATTTAAAAAACCACCGTAGACAACTACAAATATGTATTTTAATCTAACTTAGTACTATTAATATGAACATCAACCTCTCTCGTGATGAGTTTGATAATGAAGGTAAATTTAAAAAAAAAATTACAGATTACTATTGGTAGAATAACATTGCAGTATCTGTTGCTAAAAGTTTAGAGATATGTTAGCTTACGGTACAGCTGAGGTAATCTTTAGTGACAAAACATACATAAAATGACAGAGAAAATTAAGTTCTGTCATTTTTTAAAATTCTTTTTTGACTGTTGATGTGCAGGCTGCATGATGAAATTAAAGTGCAGTACCGACTTAAAACTTTATGCCTACGAGCATAGAGTACCTTGCCTCTCAGTGTTCAACAAGCTGGTCATGATTCACTGTGCAACATGTTTTTCCGTGCATATGCATTAAAGTAGAAAATTGTTTAATGTTTATTAAAATCTTTTAAAACGTACCACAAACTTTTTAGCCACTTCTGTGTTGTGACAATCGTTTTTTTTTATCTTTGCCTAATTTTATAATTTTAAAAAGAGACTTTTTTATAGATAAAAGTGTGAAGATAATATAATCGTTATACTTTACAAATTTTTTTGCTAGAATTTTTTTTCCCAAACTCAATTGCAACGAGAAAAAGTAAAATCAAAACTTAAAGCCTTTACTATTGGTCAAGTTAGAACGAGATTTCGTAGATAGCAAAGTAGTTATTTTTAATACTTCTTCGTAAAAGAAATCAGACAGTCGGAAAATACCTTAGAATAATGTGTTGTAAGCGTAAAAATATTAGTGCGATGAAATGAGATAAACAACTTAGTTATATACAGTATTCATTCTTAGTAAGAGTGAATAATTCGACGTATAATTTAATGTACGAGGTGTGATTATCATTTTCTGTACTACCTAGTAATGATAAGGGAGTTTTTTGTTTTGAGCCTAATGCAGAAAACAAGTAATAAAATTATTTCTTTACTTATGAGAGTAAAAAAAATGGAAAAATTATGTTTCGATTTTGCTAAGTAAATTATTTAATTTTTAAAACATATGTAACTACACTTACTTAGTTAAAATTGTTACGGGGTGCAACCGAGGCGGAATAACGAAGCGAAAACTTCGACCTTGACCGAGCCTGTGTTGCCCAGACACCCTCTACGACACTTCCTGTAAAATGTATGTACGCGGGTATCGCCTTTCGAGACGCCGCCAGGACTAGGTATCGGGCTACAAGTGTCGTCGCTTCTCGCGACTTCAACACAACGCAAGAGAAAGCGGGACACACATGAAAATAGCACTCACGAGTAGTATTTTAAAACAAAAGGTATATTCAATAATATTTATAAAGTAAATACAAAAGATACTCGCAGGTGTAGGTGTGTGTGTGTGTGTGATCGCACGTCGAGCGCGATAGCTCGACGTGCTCGCGGCGCAAAATCGCGACACGGGCAGACCTACGCAGGCTACTCGGGGGCTGCTGCCCTTTATAACAAAACTACCAGTTGATAGGTACTTACAGGTACTACGAAGAAACGCTAGCACCTTCGGTCATCTAGGGGTTGTCAAAGGGCGATGAAATCAAGTCAGCCGGCGTCCCTGCTGAAGAAGTCTGATGATTGCTCTAGGTCGCTCTTCGCCTCTTCAACCTGGTGTCGCTCAGTACCTGGATGTCTCCTGTGGCGGTTCAGCCTCCCTGGTGGTATCCGCTCTCGCAGCCAGATTGGAAGCCAATACCAGCAATAAGCACTGTACTGAGATGTCGTGTTAAGGCAATACCTAGAGACAACGGGATCAACAAAAGAAACGCTTTTCGTGTAAACAAAACAGTCACTTTACGAAAGGTCTCTCACGCGCGCTGGCAGGCCCAAGCTAATCTGAGCTCTCCTCGTTTTTCCCTCATTCTCCTTCTTTCCCTCCTGCCCTGGCCTGCATATGCCCTACACCCCTTTTTCTTTCCCCTTTTCCCTCTTTCCCTACCTGACTTAGCCTACCTATGAGGCCTAAAGGTGGGGCACTGTTATAGAATAACTGATGGTAATATAACTCTCTACGATAAGACTTGTAATCGTAAACTTGATTTGTATATCAAGACACTGTCAAGAAAAGTGTTTAATTTAGAAATTAAAGGCATTATTGTATGTAATACATCACATGGCTATCCTAACCCTGCAAAGTAGTCATAAGAGTGTACCTGAAAATGGTTAGTAACAAACAGTTACTTGAAATTACTATTTTCATGTCTAAAACTGAATTTCAATAAATCTACGATCAATGCTGCAACAAACGAAAGAGAAAATTGAAAAAGCTGTCTTCTTTATCTTTTGTCATAAAAACACCGGTTCCAACGCCAATAGCGATGATAGCAATAAGAACATAAGCTAAAATATCAGTTTTTATGCTTATAAAATACAAATCTTTTAATTAGTGTAATATACAAGTCTACTGTTTATTAAATTCTAACGACAGTATTATAGATCTGAAAAGAAATCATGCAACAAACATTATTAAGAAAACAGAAGTTAGTTGAGATGAGTTTTAATACAGTAAAAAATTCTTTAATAATATTCAAGGATTAGTAGTCGGTAATATTTTAAACTTTAAAAATATAGTAATTGCGTGACTTGTCAACAAATTTTATTTTAAGATGAAGTCAGTAAAAAAGCATAATTTTCTGAAGAACTATTCATATGGGTTTTTTACACAAACTAACAAACTTTGACCAAAGAAGCAATACCACCCTTGGACTTATTATTTTAAATATTAATAGTCTAACTCATTTGCTATCCCAAATGATTTACAAAAACCTAACACTGTTTTTCAACAGTTGTTTTAAAGTTAGTTACTAATTCCCTACATACTCAATTACACATTCAAACTGTAACTATTTTTTCTCATTTATTTTACGTCTCTGAAAATCGCTTAACTATCCACTAATACTTTGTTTCGGTTTATTTCAAAAAATCTAAATACACGACAAACTTGTACTTAAAATACATAAAAAATTTCTTAGGGGATACTCGAAGACTAAAATAGTAAAATTCAAGAATTTTTTTACTTTTGATGGTACCTTCTAACATTAAACTTTTTGTCTAATCTGCTATTGCTTCATGAATAGATAAACAGAGTAATATTAAACTGCAAAACATTCTGCTAGAGCAAATTAAAGACGTATTATATAAACATAGAACTAAACAAATTTCTGATTACTACTAAATCGATAAAAATACGTGCACATCAATAAAGAACCATTTGAATTTCAATTTTCAGTACTACCCTGAACGTAGAAAAAATATTTATAGACAGAAAATGGTCTAGAAAAAAAAAATTAACATCATATTTTATATATTTATAAATATTTCTTATAACATTATCTGCTACTAATAAGACAGATTCGTACAAAAAATAAAATAAAACACAATAAGTTTCACAAAAAGGTAGATGCTCAGCACCATTTTTCTTATCTTGTGGCATATCAT